ACACACACACACACACACACACGCGCGCGCACGCACGCACGCACGCACGCACACATCACGCGCGCGCGCACCAACATATTTACACGCACAAAAATGTTAAAAACCCGAACCGCCCGATGGAAAACGAGGAAAGAGGCAGAAATATAGGCGCACGCACGCACGCACGCAGGAACGCGAGCACACGCGCATGCACGAACAAGAGCGCGCACGCACACTCGCATACAAAAACACAATACATATACGCACGCACACATACGCACGCACGCACGCACACGCACGCACGCACACACAGACGCACACACACGCCAAGTCACAAAATATCAGTGTAAAATACCAGTTTAGCTAACCTGGGACAATGCCAGCTTTGCATATTATCATGAGACCGAAACGGGGGAATGAGAAAGAGAGGGATGAGTGGATGCTAGGCAAATAGTGCGAATACAAGACGAGCACGGGGGGGGGGATGGAACTGAGGATGAGGCAATGCAGGTAAAATAGCGATACAAGAAAACACGGATATGACGATAGAATGGAGATACGGGATGAGAGGAGTAGGTGAAAGCACGTATTGCAGAGATACAGAGTGAGAGGGGGAGGAAGGATAGAGAGATACGGGTGAAAGAAGAAGACAAAGAAAGGATAGAGGTGGGGGAGAGAGGTGAATTCGGGAGGAAGGATAGAGATACGGGAGAGAATATGAGAAGCAGGTAGGATAGGGGTACGGGGTGAGAGAAGGATGGAGGGCAGCTAAGACGGAGATGCAGGGTGGGGAGGGGAGAAAGCAGACAGGATGGAGATACATAGTAGCAGTGGGATGCAGGTCTTAGGATGGAGATAAGAGGAAGGAGGGTGAGGCAAGAAGGATGTCGATAAGGAATGAGACGATTATGATAGGCAGTGGAAACAGAGATACGGGATAAAAGTAGCAGAGAGAGAGAGAGAGAGAGAGAGAGAGAGAGAGAGAGAGAGAGAGAGAGAGAGAGAGAGAGAGAGAGAGAGAGAGAGAGAGAGAGAGAGTCTATATAGCAGAAACCCTTCCAAAGAATTAGAACCTAAACATGGCTTACTAATGATGCTTTACTTACACAATGGGACCCCGAAAATAATTGATACCCAACACCTTGCTGATGCAATATACTCACTGTTTTGTTATCCTCATCCTGTACGATTATTCAGTAAATTAGACAACGCTAAGTTATTATTCTACGTACAGCCTCTAATCGTAGTTCTACGCAACCTTTATTTCTCATTGTGGTAGCGTCCTGCACAACGTGCCTCAGGTTATTCGTTTAAGATATCAACGCGTAAAAATCAGACACAGTGCACGTGAACTTTTTCTCCCGCGTATGAAAAGTAGTTCATTGTAGATTACAAATTAAATAATGCTATAGTAGTTGCGGCGGATAAAAATCTTATGCAATAGCGAATACTGATTGGTAGGAGAGCAATAGTAGATGAAGAAACAATACATCTGCCAAACATATGCTGTTTCCAAATACAAAACTACTGTAAAATGAAATATATACGAGTATTACGTATCTTTATTAAAATGTCCTAAGCGCACACACGCACGCACACACACACGCACGCACGCACACACACGCACGCACACATACACAAATATATATCAGTGTACTTGCACGTAACACAGTCCAGATGGCTATTTGTATTTAGCATAAACCAGCTTGTATCTCATTTCGGATCACCACTATGGTAATAAATTACTTAAAATCATAAAAATTATCTAGATTATAGTTATGGTTAATTCTGGCGCCTCATTACATGGTCGGCCCTCCCGAGTTCTTGTTATTACAGTCGCCCCTGTGTTTAATAAAAAACCATGCACATTTATTAATTTTAATTAATTCATATATTTATTTCTTCTTTACACAATAACTTAAAACGGTCATCAATCGTTCATTCAAACATTCACAACTTCTTCCTACCTTCTTCCCTTCATTCACTAACTAATTGATCACAATCATCAGTATGGCCACAATACTTCCAATCCAGACTATTATATGAGTATAACCAAGCTGAAAGCATTTTCACCCTTCCAACTTTTGGGAGAGAAGCTGAGAAATATACGACTACGTATTCATCATATTAAACCATCTTGCATGCCCGACGGGCTTAGATGCTGGCACGTCGATAAAGGGGCAACGAATAAAAATACTGCAATTTTGGCAGAGGATACAACGGCATATTTGTGTGTTGCTGATTATCTGACTGCATCTTATTAAGAGCACATAATCCACAAACAGGGTTTATGCGCCCTTAACCATATGTAGCTGGACAGTATTTTTCATTTATCAAGCCCTTTATATAATATAGATTCGTTAATGCGGGTCTAAATAAAAACTCTATTGATAGCATACACACAAGGTTCGATGAGCTTTATCAAATCACTGTTATTATTCATTAGCTGATATTGTATTTGATATCTATCTTTACTTGCCAATGATAGCACAGGCTACTCGCCCGTTGAATCATAGTAAATCATGTAACGAACTACTGTGTACAAGGCTTTACAAACAAAAATACCTTTCAATTTCGTAAAGAGTGGATTTTTGTTTTCCCACACGAGCGAAATAAGCCAAGTACAAAGATGTCTTTATGCTGGTGTATTTTGGTCTTTTTTCTCAATTTCTCTTTGGTCTCTTGCCCCTTTGGCCTTGATTCGTAACTGCTATGCGGAAGACAGAACACTGCACAGACCCATGAATTTAGTGTGAACTATTTATCTATCCATGACCTGTCTACTAAGTCTCTGTCAATATATAGGGAAGTAGAATATGAAACATTGTAGGCGTATGTATGTATACATATATATACATACATATCAGCAGGAGTAGATAATAGGGATATATACATTCAGGTATATAGAATGGCACAATCAGTGTAAGCTATTATGTTTTGGAGGATATATCCGGGCCATTATACTCAGATGACAATTCGTAAATACGTGACACAACAGCGAGAGTAACATTTACAGACAGAGCGGATACGTACGCTATTATACGCGCATATGCGAAAACACAAATTGCACGCACGACGGATAAAACCGCACTTCTTTATATATATATATATCACTAACCGAATACGTTCAATGTTTTTATACATCCGTGACATCATTCATGCCAACGTCATCACACTTCACATCTGCGCGTACAATAAAATCATCACATGACTCAGGCAGTCACCCAGCATCAACCCTTTCTCTCTCACATCACGAGCCTCTTTACTAACGTCTACAATCTTGATATGTGCTGTAAGAAGCGGCAGCGGCATTATATAACTACCAGCAGCTGAAATTCACGTTGTACTGTATATATTACACACACACTTGCACGTGTACCTATATTGTTGTGGGTCCATATGCAGTGGTCGTGTACAGTCTTGGACTAGTATTATTTCAGATCGGCCCCTGCGAACAAAGAGAGCACGAGACCAGTTACTCGCTCATGTATGTATGTAACTATGTAAAAACAAAAGCACAGACTGGTTTCAGGCTATGCCTGTACACAGCTGTATTTTTATCTACCATTGATCTATGCAGGCGCGTAGACACACAGTCACACACCCACACACACACACACACACACACACACACACACACACACACGCGCGCACACACACACACACACGCACACATCACGCGCGC